AAAAAAAAAAAAATATATATATATATATATATTATTAAAGTAATTATAATAATATTTCTGGAAGTTTATTATAATTACACATGGGCTCCTGCCGCTCCACTATTTAAAAACATTACTTTGATATTCCTTTTTTGTAATATCATTATTAGTTGTTCATTTATTTTTTAAATTATTTTTTTTATACAAATATGATTTTTTTTATTAAAAATCCCGTGAGTGGAAAAATAAATGAAATTAATAGTATTTGCCAGGAATGTAACAAGGTAACATTTACATGGGATAGAGAAGTGTTTGTATAACATAAAAAACAAAAAACCGAGGTGCATGTGTAATATAGAGAAAGTTAAGGAGTATCCTATTAATGTGTTTGATAATGAAGATGAAGTGTGTGTGTTGGGTTGGGTTAGGTTAGGTTAGGTTAGGTTATTGTATGCCATGAGCATGGAAGCCTCCGAACTGAGCAGCAGTAGTGAAGACATTCGATGCCATCACTGCGCAGGACCTCTCTCCAACCAGATGGTATATTAATATTACTATTCTATTCTTCCTTATCAATTTTATGCTCCTTTTTAACATTCCACTTTTCTTCAGGAAACCACTCACTGGACCGTATCGCCTCTTATCAGGGATAGCTTTTCTATGGTAATTTCTTCCCACCCACTTCATTGTACTCTTCCATATATTCATGGCTCTGCGAAATTTTTTATCTTTCTTTCTGGGGTTTCAATACTCTGCAGATTGGTTCTGCGGTTGGCGGCACTGCAAGTGCATTTTATGGATTCAATCTCGGTATGCATTCTTCTTTCTCACTGTTTATACATTTTTATGAGCATATATGGATTTAATCAATTTTTTTATTGGTTTGTAAATTTTAATTGTGCAAATTTTCATCTTCCAAACTGAGGATTAATTTTTAATATTTGGAAACTGAACTATTAATTTAAAGCATGAAACTCTATAAACCTGTATTTATACTTCTTTTCTTAGATCATTGCACCATTACACTGAATCTTCCAATCTTTGGGACTTAATGATCATGCCCATGAAGCTCACGTGTTTTCAATTTTATAATGTATTCAGAAGCAATTTTTGGTTCTCTAATGCAGTTATGCCGGTTGTCCAGAGAAGGATAAAGGGACCCATGTGGTTGCATTTTCTCATTGGTGTAAGTTCGTTTGTGCTTTATATTGCTTTTGTTTTTAGCTTTTGTTCACTCATTTTTACTAGTTTGTGGCTTTTTGCAACACTAGTTCATTGATTTCTACAGATTCAATGCTTTGGAGATGTAAATCTTTGACTATTGAACTCTTAGGTTATAAAATTAAGCATCCTAAACAATTCATACTATTTCATAGTATTCCGTTGTATGACTTGGCACATAATATCATGTTTTTAAAAATGTTACCATATATGAACTTCGAGTTTTGCTTTCATTTAATAAGAAATCATGGATAGATTTCTTAATCAAGATTCAAAAGTCTTTCCTTCTTCCTTATTATCCTCCTAAATCCTAATGAATGGCAAAATGATGCAGTTGATGTTGGCAACTTTATTTAAATTCTTAAATATACAAAAGAGAACCATTTGGCCCCTAAAATAATTCTTGCAAGGTATTGAATCATTCTCGCATATTTATGACATTGTTAGACATTTAACCGTACCCTGTAACCTTTCATGTATTGTTAAAGGTACAGCCCCTGTGACTTAGACACCTTTGTTTCCTCTGCTGATCTAGAATCATTTTGCCACTTTAGATAGAAGTAAAATGACTTGCATCATTCATAGGTACATTCCTGCCGTGTTTCTACACGTAATTCTTTGATGTCTAAATTTTGGACTAGATAGATAGTGAATTTTCACTATTCAACAGGGGAAATGATAATTTTGGGAAAGGGGTTGGGGGAGGTTAGACTTTTGTGTATCATTATTTAAGCAGATTTTTAAAAAGTTGCTTTTATGCATCCATTTTGAACTTCTTTGTCTGAGGAAATTTTAGTTACAACTTCTAAAGCTGTTGTGTGCACCATCTTGGATCTTCGTTGTTATCCATTTTGGACTAGTCTTGTTTTGATGCATACATGATACATTAATCTTAATGCTGTTTTATCCCCTGTAAATTCAGCTGGACTCATTTCTTCTTTGTTTAATTGTGTAACTTGTATCATTGGGGTAGCAATCACTATATTGTGCTATCTTTTTGGATTGACGTTTCATAGATGTTGAAGCATTATAGAACTTTCACTCATATAAGTTGAACATTTGAATACTACGTGCATTCTTGATTCAGTCAACTTTTTTGCTGTCATACTGACATAAACCTCTCTGCAATTCAGGCACCACCAGTGATAGTATTCTCTTCAGCTTGTGCAGGACTGGCAGGTGAGTTTCTGAACATGTTGTTATACTCTGCTTGTACACTCTGTTGGTCTTTGTTTTCAGTTTTAAGGCTGAAGAATGTGTAACTTTGTAGGCCATGTTTCACAAAACTCGCAAGAATTTGTTGTGTTCAAAAGTGAAAAAACTAATGCAACTTAATGTCCTTGTCTTGATTTGTTTGTTTATATGGAGTTAACAATTCTATTACTACCTCTCTGTCCCTAATTATAAGACTCTTCCATCTAAATGACACTCTTTAAGTAAATTAGTTAATTTAATTAAGAACATTAAATTTGTCAATAATTTAAACTAATTTTTCAAAACTAACCTTCTCTCTTTCCATGTAATCATTTCTCACTTAATTAATATTTGGAAGAGATGGATATCTGTGTCTATTTATCTATTTATCTTTTCCAATCCTAATAATAGATAGAAAATATTTATTCAATTAATTTCAAACATTTATTATGTTTTGTTTAAAAGAATCGTTAATTAAATAATGGTATTTTAGAGAAAAATAATTTATACAACTGACAATTAAAAGAGAGTCTTATGAAAAAAGACAAACAAAATAGTAGAAAGGTCTTATATATAGGGACGAAAGTTGTAATATATTTGAATAGTCTTTACTCTCGATTCACGCAGTAAACTTTTTAAGTTGTGGTTTAGTTGATTGAAGAGTAGCTTTGTCTTTATCTTGTTACCATCTGACAATTCAAGTCATGAATGTCTTCATTTATAGGAAGAGTTTGTCTCATCCATATGCGGATGTACCATGTTGATCACAGTTTCATTTGCATAACTGCAGGTGGGGCTGTTCCTGCTGCAGCACAACTTGTTTCCTCGTCTTATAATGCAGCATACTCAACTTCTACCTTACCTCCGCCATCAAAGGATGGAAATATTCAAAAGTCAAGAAAATGATATAATATGCTTTCATTCTCTGATCACGCATTCATGATGAGTGTGCTGAGAGTTTTGTTTTTCATGTGTAAATACTGCTCTTGAACTCAGTATGTTTGGATGAGAGGAAAGATAATAGAAAGGGAAAAAAATACATAGATAACAATGTTTTTTATTTTGTTTGACTGAAGAGGATGTAAAAGAAAAATAAAGAAAAAAAGTTGATTTCTATATTTTTTTTATTACTTTTCAATTCAAAATTTAAAGTTTTACCCCCCTATTTCTACGATTTTTCACCTTACATACTTTGAGTTAGTGTTTCAGTATGTAATTTCAGCTCCTGTAAACTGGTTCATTAGATTAGAGAGGATAGGAAATTGGTTTTGGTAGTAACTAATAGTCAGAAATAAAAAAAACAAAAAAAAAAAACCTACTAGTTACTGATAAAATAAAATAGTTTAGAAAATATTCCAAAAATAGTTTTTTACAATTTCTTTTTCCAGAATTTATCTAATAAAAGTTTTTCTTAATATAATTTGGACTCCCCTCATTTTATTTTATTGCATTTCGGAGTCTCATTTAATAAAGGCTCATTCATGTCATTATTTTTCTTTGCTCCCATAACACATTGTTGTTTTGCAATAAATAATTTAACCACGCGGTTGTCTTTCATTTCCAATTTCACGAATAAGTACAAATAGAATTGCACGGAAAATTAGAAAAAAACGTAATATCTTCTATAATTTATTGCAATAAAAAAGAGAAAGAGAATAATTTGTTATAAATAGAACTCTGATGGTTACACATTGCAATATAATTACCAAACTTTTTGCTTCAAGTTTAAGAATATTAATTTACGACATAAATTTATTTTATAAACTATTATATTTAATTGTCTTAAAATAATAAAACTATTATTTTTGGTTTTCTTGTTTTTTTTTTTTTTAAATTACATAACTTTTTCCATTTTTTAATCATATTCGTATATATATAATTTAGAAATAAAGAGAGGGTTGATTTTATAGTAAGGGTAGTTTTGGAATAGGAGAAAGAGAGATTTGGTATTTAAACAGAGCACAAACCCTAAGCAGAAGCTCAAAACTACTTGATCTTATCTGAGCAGAGGAAGCCACGGCGCCTCTTCTTTTCCCCTTTCACCGCTGCGCACACGGTGACGGCGGAGCCTCCGTGATTGGCGGCTCTGCCCCCTGACTCTGACTCAGCGCGACTGAAAGGGGCAATTCGCCGTTGGAACCCTGCAATGAAGACTGCCCGCGGTCAGAGCCCCTTTCTTTGTTTCTCATTGCTTCGGGCAGTGATGGCCACGCGGGCTTCCCTATTTTATTCTTTGCTTTCTTTTATTTTAAATTCTCCATGTTGTCTTATTTTCGTCTGATTTTCACGTTTTTCTGCATTTTTTTGTGTGTGGATATAATGATTATTTACTTAACGTATTATGTTCAGTTCAACTATTTTGTTTTAAATTATTTGTTCCTTTTTTAAGCGATTATACAAATGTGTATTATTATTATTATTATTATTATTATTTTAATTTTATTTAATCATTTATTTTTTCTGTTCTCTTTGGTTGTTGATTAATTGGTTTGACAGGTTGAAGAGACTTTCTTGCGATGTCCTGAGACAAAGTTTAATGCCTAATCTTTTAATTTTGGATCTGTATTGTTAAGGTTGTACTCGCCAACCTGACTACAATGTAATTTTGTTGCTTCCTATTTATATGCTCCATTATTAGTGTATATGTTAAGCATAATTATTAGATTTTTATTACAGTTTATGGTAGAATTTTTACTGTTTATGGGCTGATAGCAATTTATGACTTGATTTATTTTTCTACCAGACAATAAACCCTCGAATCGAGGTATATTTCTACCAGCATGAACTCTCCTGGATTTAAAAAATAATTTCGAAATTTATAAATTTAAACACTTGTAAAAATTGATTATGCCTCCGGTTAATTTTAAGGATAAATAACAAATTCAGCAATATTCATAGAACTTGATTTATATAGTGACTCAATACAATACAATCTAAAATAGGTTCAAAAGCTCTCTTGCTGCGGGGTAGATACCGTTCAAAATAACATCAATCGCAATCAAGCAAGGAAGTCCTAAAAAGAAATAAATTAAGAGTGTGTACGGAAAAATTATGAATTATGAAAATTAGATTATTTTAATAAATGATTATTGTTATAGTTGAAATAAATTTTTGTTTATATAAATTTGATGAGAAGTAATTTTGAGATATTAGTTTTAAGGAATATTTAATTTTATTTAAATACAGTAAATAATTGATTTTCATACAGTAAACTATTTTAAATGAATTTTTTATTTTAGTAAAAAATATTTAAAGTCTTTTTTAAAAATAATTCAATTTTTTAAAAAGATAAACCGTAGAATTATAAGCATTCCGAACATGGTCAAATACTCGGCACTCAATTATACATGGAAAAATGATGACAAGAGGGAAATACGATGCACGAGGTTTTATCTTTTCATTCTTATCAGCAAACAAGCTAGAAACTTGAAATAAAAATCAATAAATTTGAAAACCACTAATTATTTTTTTAATATTGTACAGTTTTAAAGAAGTAAAAAAAGATGTTAAATGGAAACAAAAATAGGAAATCCAAATATTTCAAGGTATATCGTGAGAACTTAAATAATAAATAAGAACGTTCAATCTATCAAGAGAAAAAAAAAATATCAACCAAGTAATATAGTACAAGTAAACCAAATCAAGATATAAATAAGAACGTTCATTTTGCCTATGTATTACTTTTTTGATTAAGTTTTGAAGTTTACGTTGCATAACATTGTAACTAATGAATTTTATACTAATGATGACAATCTGGGGTGCTTGGATTTATTACTATGCCAACTTTTTTGATTAGGGCACTTGACACATAATTTTTGACACATTATAGAGATCATTCATCTTGAAGTAAACGATTTTCCGCACATCAGCACTGCAAGGATTGTCTATTTTGATGGAAAATTTTGATGAAGAATAGCGGATGCAAGCCAATTTCACTAAAGTTTAAGTCTGAATAGCATATTGCTTGCTTTGATTGTGGAATAGGTCAATTATTTGTTAGTCTAATTGAATAGGAGCATTTGCTAACTACTGACTGAATTCAGTAGTTTATGCATCATTTTGACTGTGGATACTCGAAATCTTAATTTTGATCTATGTTGACTAATCAACAATGATGGCAGACATTTAGGATTTTGATCACTTCTTATCAAAGAACAAAAGTCATGAACTCAATCTGTGCAAGTGTTTGAGAAATTAGCTGTTTAGTTAATAGAATCGTTGACCAAGAAGCTTATTAATAGACAATAATTTAGATGGTGAGATGAGATAGATATTTCAAGACTGGACGATAGGAAAACAGTAATGGGCCTTTAGTTCAGCATATTGGACTCAGTGCATGACTAATCTTGTAACATTTAACTTGCGTGATAAAAGAAATTAAATAGATTGACCAAGTTAAAAGAGATATGAATAAGGTTCTTGACTTCTTGTATGATAAGGATGAATGTTGATCTAAAAGGATACATTCAATTCAAACTCTAGAAATTGGAACCAAGGCATTTCTTGAGTTGACCAAGGTAAGAGATGTGCTCTAAAACCTATTTTATAGAAATGGTTGACATGTTCAGACAAGAAGATAATTAGTTAACAATGGATTGCCCTGGGTTTTCAACTTATAATATAGAGAAATGTAAGATTAAGGTCCAACTATTATTCAATTTAAATCTAAGACTCTATATATGTTAATTATTTATCATTATTCTTAAAATTGGATTAGTTATTAAATCAATTAATACATTAGTTTAAGGTTTAATCATTTAACTGATGTTGAACAATAATAATAATTATACTAGAAATTAAAAAAATAAATTTGTCAGCCATTTAAAATACACACAAATGTCCATATCAAATATATTATAATATACATGTTTTAGTTTCCACAATATACAATAACGTTAATTGATAATAACAAATTTATATTTAAAATATAAAGAAAATGATAATCATTTTATGTTGATTTTTCATTATTTAAAAATAATTAAAGCAAAACATTGAAATTTGAGTAATGTTTATTAATCCTTGTAAACTAGTTTTTGGCTTATTTTTACTAGTTTTGACTATTTTTTTTCTATAACCATTTTTCTCGACATGATTCAATGTTTTTTTTATTCATAACAAGGCAGGTACAAAACGAATTTACAATACTTACATCTTTGCTTAACTAACCAAACTAAAATCTCTTAATTTATTCTGATTGGACACTAAATTAGTTTATTACTTTTGTGGCATGATCCACTAGTCCCATCTAATTCCCATAACACAGTTATTTATTGCTTTATTTGTACCTTCCTTTATTGCTTTCATGTCATATCCTTCAATGCACTTACAATTTAGTTGATCTTCAAACTGAGTGCTATAGGAATCCAAAGAAAAAAGACATAGGTTCCTTGCTTAATATGGAAACTTAACTGTTACCATTCAGCTCATCAATGTGTTAAATATCTCATTGGATTTAAAACACTAAAATCGCAACAGTAACATTTTCCTTTATTAATCACCCAATTTTCATGATCGAATTATATTCAAGGGTTGAGTGAGTGAATTTCTTAGACCCCATTAATAATCAGTATAGTACTGAAATACAAGTTTCTATTCCTGGCCACCTGGGTCCATTGCCAATCATTGTAGCCCTTGATTTTTCTCAGCATATATGGTGGATTATTAGTGCCATGTCAACTCTTACATTACATATTACGTTTCATCTGCTATTGGCCATTCACCTATAAAAAATGAAAGAAAAGCCAATTATGACAAGTGCTCAAAGTTAGTCTCAATGCAAATTTAGACCAAAATGCAAACCTAATAGTTGAACATGTTCAGTTACTTGCTTCGCCGACAAACCTAATAGTTGAACATTATCAATAAATGAATAATTAATTTTAAGATTTGATCTAGACCAATCACCTTTCTAGACAGGGAAGCTCAAATAATTACGGCTCAAGGTAATGACAGATTCGTGGAATGATTCATTGTCTAAAATCTTCTCAGAAACACTTCCACATGAACATGTTTTTTGTAAGGTATGTTGGGAACAAAGGTTTATATGCTTAAAATACAAATTGACCTAACCAAGAGAGCGTTTATATTTTGAGGCAAAACCCACTTTTTTTAGGACCAATCATTGGCAATTTGGCATCATAAAAGAATAATTGGTAGGAGGCATATTACCTGCAAAAGGTGTTAGACGAGCACAATATAAAATATTGCTCTTATACCTCTTTATGGGTCCATTACCTAAAAGTCTCCTTCACCTCTCTCTCTCTGTCTGTCCTTTCTTTATCTCCTTAGTAGATATATTACATATTACATATATTTATGTGTTCAATAATGTTGGTCCCAAACTTTATACGATATAGACTTAGAAATTGTGGAAATAATCCTCTTTTCCCTTGCTATGTACACTTTATTTTACATCAGCATGTCTATGTCGTAACACCTCTATCTAGGGTAGTTAGAATTTTGAAAGATTAGCAGTTAAGCTTACCATACAAGGTGTGAGAATTGGGAAAATAGTCAAATGCAAATTACGTTGGAGTGATGGGTTTATTATACTAATTAACAAATTTAAAATGAAACCAAGTTGCTAGTAATTCGAGATTGCCTTGTGCACCATATTGCCGTGCAAACAGATTTCTATAACTATAAGTAGAAAGGAATCTCAACGTGGCATGGTTTAGGTGATGACAGGGAATGGATGTTGACCCATCAACAAAGGGGATAACACCAAACAAATCCATCACAGAGCTAGGATTAAATACACAAAGTGGTTAAGCTTGTGGACTATTATTCTAATGTTTTGGTTGAATTGGTATGAGCACAGTTTTCTTTTTTTCTTTTTGTACGAGTAAAACAATTAAACAAGTCATTCCAACTGTAAAAGAGAGAGTGAAATTCACTCTTTTTTTTTCACTCAAATTTCAATAGGAAAGAAAACATGACCCATGCATTGGTTCAATGAACTTATTGTGTTCAACTTGGTCTCTTACATGAGTTCAATGAATTTATTGTGTTCTTACTAATAACATCTCAGATGAAAAAACATGAGTCCTTATTTGTCTTTAAGTACATACAGCACAGAAAAGAACCAATAACAAAACACAGGCGGTTAGATGAGAGAGAGAGAGAGAGTGGAGTAGGAGTCAGTGATTCTAGTGGGTTCCTGCAACAGACCCCACCTGTCCAATTTTATTATTATTATTTTTTGTTTTATTCATTTTTAAAAAAATTTATTTGAGCCACCTTTGAAGCCCCACACAAGAAGTCCAAACTCCAAACTCCAAAGAGAGGGTGAGACAAGTTTGCTGGGACAACATCTTGGGTACCACAGAATGAATTTCTCAATCTGAAATATTTTCAACTAGGGACAGCCATAAAGCAAGCCAAACAGACTAATCAATCAGGTTTCTTCATTGAGAAGGAGAAAAGAAAGAGATAGAGACACCCCATGAAAGATAAAAAGTTGCAAAGAGGATCATATCTGAGAAAAAGACTGGACCCTCTTGTGCCAACTTACAACATAGATTAGATATATAGACTCCTATTTATCCCAAACACATACAACTATAAGGTAAACAAACACACATGACACCTTATACATAGCACTTTACAAATTCTTCAGCTCTAGTATAATCCATGCTAGAGCAATTGCAACACCAATTTTTGTTCATGTAAATTCAATTTGAGTTATAACAAGGTTTCGGCTTCAGGGAAGATGATAATGGTCTAAAAATAGCCTTGCATGGCGAGCCACAGAATTGGAGAACTTGGTTTGTCTGAGTCAGGACCTTCAAGTCACCACCACATCCCTTATGGAGTGCTTCATGGGATTAACACTTCTGCATCAAGTTTAATGTATTCTTCAATAATATCATCTTCTTAATTCAGTGCTTCGAGTTAATGCTCTTAGGCCTAAGTAAACTCTTAAGAAGGAAGGAGCTAATATAGTGTGATTGATTGGTTTAATTTATTTGAAACTATTTTTTGTTTTTGTTTTGTTTCTTAGCAATCAAGGATCTGCTTTTGATTTTGGGGAGCTGGAAGAAGCAATTGTTCTGCATGGAGTTAAGGGTGGAAATGATGAGAGCAAAGCATGTATGTTTCCGTTTCCATCATTTGCGCTTTTTCTGACGTTAGATAAGCATAACCAACTCTTTCCAAAAGCAGAGAGAAAAAGGAGGTGGTGGGGGGGTGAAGGATAAGAGGTTTGAATATGTCTAAAGAATGCTCAATGGGGGGGGGTTACCATTTCCGATACAATAATGATTCTGAGACGATAGACTTGGATGGCGTGGGGTTACAATCTTAGAAACTGACCACTTTGCATGATTTTACTGACTCCATAACTGCTGAAAAGTTGGATTAGGTTCCTCAGCCTTTTTTTTTGGTTGTTATAATTCAAAGTCCTCTCCTCTTTATTTTGGTAATCTTCAACTCCTTCAATTTGGTGATCCTCTTAGAGATTTTGCTTTTGTGATTCTGGCAGCTTTATTCACAGGCAGACCTGCAGCTACACTGGAAATGTTCCCTTCATGGCCAATGAGATTCCAGCAAACCCCAAGAGTACTAGTCTCTCCTACTTGTCCATCTTTGACCATTTTTTTAAAAACATGATGCTTATGCTTACAAGTTCAAGAAATCTCAATATTTTATTTCTCCTTTCACTGTGAAAATGATATTGTCCAAATCCTCACCCTTATTATGTGAGGTGATTTTCATTTCTTAGTTGAATTATGTGAACCAAAAAGTTTTGGTGGCTTTCCACATACAGGGCGGTTCAAAGTCAGGAGGTGAAAGCACTGACTCAGCCCTTTCAAGCAAAACGGAGCCCCCCTTTGAGGCAGAATCTCCAATAAGTAAAAAGGCATCTTGTTCAGATCATCAGGCTTTTTTTGATCTGCAGCAACTTCGACAGGAGATGGCAAGTGATGCCCCAAGAACAGCCTCTACACAGAATCAATCAGCAGCCAAATCACCTCAAGAAAAGGTCTCTCTCTTTCAGGGTCTTTTTTTTTAATTAACTTTTTTTGACATAATAATCCTGTTCCAAGTACTGTCAAGTATTAAACAAGGACACTTCTGTTAACAATCCTAACCATAATTCATGGTATTGAGGAAGACTAGTATTTTTTCAGTCTCAATACTCAATAGGGTCCATCTAGACCTCAAGAAAGGTTATTAAACCACTGTTTTTCCACTGTTAATCTCTCAGTTCTCTCTTTCCATATCCCCAAAACTCGGGGAAAGTTGGCCTTTTAAATGCTCTTTTTACTGTTTTGATCTGTCCCTCCTCTTCTTCTCTCTCTCTCTCGTATCTTCACAAAGAAGGCACAGATCCCAACAGCTTTCAGAAAATCAAAAGAACACAGAGTTTTCCTGATTCCTGAACGATTTTCTGATGAATGTCTGACATGAAATATGATAGAGATATGTAAAGAGAGGGATGTGGACAAAGTACGAACAAAAAACAAATTGAGAATCTTTTCAGTACTTATCAACGTTTCTCTTTAAAGTGACCCACACACTTGGCTCAATTTAGAGAAAACTTGTGTTCTTCTCTAGAGGCAAATTTGGAGTTCGAAATCTAAACTACAGTATACACCAAAACAATGGCAGATAATGATGCTTTTTGCTACCCTTATCATATTGATGATTGCATGCCTTTAGAGAAATGGTCCAACGGGCCTCAGGATTCAGAAATGCTTCCCAGAGTGAGCACTCTAACATGCCATTGCCATCTTTTGTTTTGGATTAAAAGTTTAGCACTTCTCTAAGCTAACTTCGATGAAGTTTTGTGATGTTTAACAGTTTTCTTCTTTCCCTCCCTGATTTATTTGGCGACTAATATGGACACATTTTTTCTGGTTTAGAGTCCTATGTTCTACACTGTGTTGAGCAAAGTTAACATTTGTGTTAATCTCTCTATTTTCATTTCTTTCCCTTCTGAAGTCATCAATGCCTTTTAAATAATGTTTTGGGGTCCTTTCTCTTGCAGAGAAAGGGAGCTGGTTCTACATCAGAGAAACCACTTGATGCAAAGGTTATTGAAGAAATTTCCAAAGTTTTTTTCTCTCTCTTTTTTTATCATGTGGTTTTACATAGGATCTAAGGTAAGATTCTTTTGTTGGCCTTAGACTTTGAGACGTTTAGCTCAAAACAGAGAGGCTGCAAGGAAAAGCCGTCTCAGGAAAAAGGTGTGTCCTATACGTTGTTGTACAAATTCAATTAGTTGTTGAGAAATAACATATATACTGTTGCAAAAAGTGGAAACTTTAAAATTTACTGTATTTTCCTTCTGTATACGGAACAGGCTTATGTGCAGCAGCTAGAGTCAAGTAGATTAAAGCTTACCCAGCTAGAACAAGAACTTCAAAGAGCACGCTCTCAGGTTCTCATGTCATATATTATTACATTATATTTATATATTGTATTTTGATTTTTTTTAACTTTTAGTGATTAATGTTATTTGAGCTGTTAATTTATAGGGCTTGTTTGTGGATTGTGGTGGTGTTGGAAGTAATGTAAGCTCCGGTGAGTTCAGTTGTTCCCTCTTTTGGTTGATTTTTGAAATGTAGTGTCATTTTTCTAATTCCTTAAACTCAGAAAGATAAAAAAAAAAGAAAAAAAAAAAGAGAAGGAAATGCAATAATTTTGTAGCAAAGATGTGACCAAATTAATGACTATGGGGCTGGTAAAACTAGGGGTAAATAAATACATTGCAAGTGGTCTATTTATACTTTCAAGATGGAACTGGGGAAGTTGAGAAAACAGTGAGATGAGAGACTTGTGGTAGTTGATATCATAAGGTGGCATCATTTTCCTTTTATGGAGCATAAATCTTTTGAATGCCAAATAGAAGTCAAAATTTGATTTGGATAGCCCATTTCAAAATTTAATGAAGTCTCTGTATTTGACCAAAATCTGTGGCTAAATAATTCGTGTTTGAATAATAAAAACAATAGGCCAGTGTCTGAATTAAATTATGCAAACATATTTTATGTTTAGATGTACGACCTTTTCAAAGCATATTATTATATACACTATAAAGGCTACTTTATATGCTTCGGCTTTTCAGAGAAGAGAATTATTCCATCCTGATACTGCTTTTTCCTCTTCTGGTAAAATAATTAATACATGCTTAGGATAAAAAGTTAACAACAAATAATCATAATAAATAGAAACACACTTTCTGACGAAAAGGAAATGCACTACGTATTATTTTGATTAATCCATTATTTATGCAGAAGGAATAAAATGGTGGCGGGTCTGTTTCATTCGTGGCCAATTGCACTGGTCACCAAATCAACCAACATTTTAATAGTTGAAAACATTATAGCATTATTAATAAGTAAAACATGTGTACTATAAAATAGTATACCAGAAAGCAAACCGATTTGAACCGGCACCACGTATATTGTAGTTTAACATAATCATATAATCAATAATGACAATAATTGATTGAGTAATGATAAATTTATAAGAATGGTTTGTTATATTATATGATTATGTAGCAGGAGCCGCAATGTTTGACATGGAATATGCAAGATGGTTAGAAGAAGAACAGCGTCTGATGGGGGAGCTGCGAAACGGGTTGCAGGCACCATTGTCAGATAGTGATATGAGAGTTATGGTGGATGGATATCTTTCACACTATGATGACATTTTCAGGCTCAAAGCTGTTACTGCTAAATCTGATGTTTTCCACCTTATCAATGGCATGTGGACTTCCCAAGCTGAACGCTGCTTCCTCTGGATTGGTGGTTTTAGACCCTCTGATCTCATCACGGTCTGTTCACTATTACATTAATTTCTATATATTATATGCTATCTATTTAGTTCATAGGAAAATCAATTAAATAAACTTACCTTATGTTTGGTATTATAGGTACTTCGATCAGAATTGAAATTTGACATTTATGGTATACGTAAAAACAGCAGTAGTAGTTAAAAAGAGTGCTAAGTTTGTGGAGTCTAATGTAGAAAAAATAAATAGTTGAATAAACTAATCTCTCTCTGAGAAAAGACAGGGAATAATGGAATATGTTATTTTATTTGGGAACTCGGAAAAGAAAAAAGAATGAGGGGGTGAGTCATTTTCTTTTGTTTTTGGAAATTGGGGTTGGGGTGTCATGGTTTGGGACAATAAGATAAATAACTTTTTCGGTAACAGCATTGCCTTGCTGTTATTAGTAATTTGTCCCATGTCAGTGGTTGTGGCAGTGAATAACTGTTCCAATGTCGTAGGGAAATTAATCTCGCAGTTGCAGGCCATAACTATAGTCAGCAATAAGCATCAACCTTAACACTTCCAAACATTTTTATATTAAAAGTACAAAATTAAACATTATACTAATTCTTAATTTCTTAGAGTGTATTTGAGAAGAAAAAAAATTACACTCACAAATTTTTAATTTTTTTCATTAAAATGTATGCTTTTTTCGTAATTTTAAATTGATATGTAAATATTCATAATATGTTGTTTTGAAGAGCGACATAAAATATAATAATGTTATTTTGGTCAGATGCTGATCCAACAGTTGGAGCCACTAGCTGAGCAACAGATAATGGGTATGTATGGGCTGAGACATTCATCACAGCAAGCAGAAGAAGCTCTATCTCAGGGCCTTGAGCAGTTGCAACAGTCTCTGGTGGACACAATAGCTGGAGGCCCAGTCGTTGATGGTGTGCAACAAATGGTTGTTGCTATGGGCAAACTCGCCAATCTTGAAGGATTTGTTCGCCAGGTAAATCCAATTTTAATTTGCCTACTTTCACTTTATTGATTCATCACATTTTTCTCCATTTCTTTTTCTGTCAATTAAATTTTTTTTAAACACTAAAAATTGTTAGCACAAATAATTTAATATTTATATTTTTAAAAATTGAAATTACGTTCTTGGTATAAATATTAGAAATCGTAATCATAAATATCACTTTATTTCTAAAAATGGATTAAATAAACGAGACTAGATATGAAAGAAAACTTTTTAAGTAGAATATTTGGTGGGGAGGTTGACGTAAAGCCTCATGGTGGCCCCGACAACTGTGTGTTGCAATTTCTGTTTAATTAATGATGTCCTATGTTTTTGTCAAAATTAGATTTGAATGTGCGTGTGACTTGTCAATTTTAATCTTGAGGGTTTAAATGCTAATTGGCTTATTAACTTCATAGTTGAAAACGGAAGCCAGATAATTAGACTAGGGCAATGGTTTCTTTTACTTTCCTTTGACTTTTGGAGTTTCTTTTATTGGATAATTAAGACACTTTATTATGCTTGTGTAATAGTTTCTACACAAATGGTAGATATTAATCCCAAAACCTAAAACTTAATTAGCTAACTATTAGACCATGATTAACTAGGAATAGTTGAAATTTTCTAGTCTATATATTTCATCTGCTTATTCATTGGCTGCGTGCATATTTTAGGCCGCACATTTGCCATGTTTATCCTAGCTAATAATTTTTTTTTTTATGATCACTTGAGAATAATTAACTCTGCTTCCCTTCGCGATTTATTTTTTGTGTTGCTTTCGTTTTAGATTATTTATTTTTTTTGCTTAATTAAATATACAGATAACTAGCTAGGTTATCTTAAATTATTTTCGGATCTTGGTCATTACGTAAATCTAAATATGTTATTTTCTGGCACTTTAGCTAAATAAATGGAGTAGAGATATGTGCTCCATTTGTTTGTTTATCTATAATTTATAATTTATAACATATATAAAAATGATAGTTAGATTTGGTGTATATGATTTTTTTTTTGTTGACAATTTTGTTCTTATAACATCTTTCAAATCACTCTTATTATCTCTCTTTCACTATTTTTTATTTAATTTATATTTTGTTTTTACTTTTCACTAACTAATAATTACTCTCTTTTTAAATAATAGAGACATTTAATGTCTCTCTTCCTCTCACTAATAAGTTATAACTTTCCTTGTTCATCAAATTATTGTCTCAGTCAGAAGTTGGTTTTTAAAAGTGATGGCTAATCCCACCAGAAGTATCATCATTGCTATTTTAAAAGACAATTTCTCAAGTGATTTCTAATTAATTAAATTATAGGGATATAGAAGAAAAATAAAATGTATTACTTTATTCAATGATTAGTAACTATCAATTAAGTTTTTTGATAAGAGAAACTCACCAGTTTCGAGCCCTTTGTCACTCTAGCCAACATGCTCCATGCCATTTGAGGAAAATTTCGCCTTGATCTGGTTAATTAATTTTATAATTAATTGTTAAATTTAATTAAATCAGTAATATTTTAATTTTAGTTAACGGCTTATTTTACAATATAGTTTTAAATCAACTATGTTTAATACATGCATATATAGACGCATATACATTCTTGATGATTATATTTGTATATAACTTGGCTTATTGCTCATTTATATTATGAACATTGAAGGCTGATAATTTGAGGCAACAGACTCTTCATCAGTTATGTCGATTACTGACAGTTCGTCAAGCAGCACGCTGCTTTATTGTCATTGGAGAATACTATGCACGTCTTCGTGCCCTTAGTTCTCTTTGGGCATCAAGACCTAGAGAGTAAGTTCATTAATTATAATTTATACTTAACATCTAAGAATCACCACTTTTTACTCTATGTCTATGGATATATATAAACATGCATGTGCAAAGACTTGTTATAACTTAATTTCCTTTTGGGATATTGAACCAGGACCTTGATTAGCGACGACAACTCATGCCAAACAACTACGGAAATGCAAATAGTCCAACATTCTCAGAATCATTTCTCAAGTTTCTGAGAGATGTAATTAAACCACATATTTAGCCTGAAAGAAGTTGCTGCTGCTGCTGCTGTTAGTGGATTTCGTCAGCGACTTCTAGAAGAAAAATATTTATTTTATTTTTCTTTTCAATTATGCTCCCTTGTGTCTCTATGTTTTATTGTAAATGTAAATTTAGTTTTTATGTGCATGATGAGGAAGCTCCTACTTTAGCTAAAGAGAAATACAAAAAGAAAAAAAAAAGAAGTTTATGAGATGGTGCATGTGGATGTAAATAGGAAGCTCCTACTTGCTTCTTTTTCTTCTAACTTTCAAAACTTTTAATGTATTAATTTACATATGTATACCTCACATATTGGTTAATGACTTTACAAGAACATAAAAGGGTGGCACAAATTGGAGGAATAGTGGTTGAGGTTGCAAGTGGGGTATATAATGAAACGGAGGCAGGGCAAGCCCAACACATACATAGGCTTAAAAAAAATCTTAAACGGGGCTTTTTAAAAATTAATAATAATGTTTTTAATAAAAAATAAAAATGTTTTTGATATGAACTTTTAAAAAATTATTATATTTTTATATTTTTTAGAAAAAAATTTAAGAATACAAAAAAATAAATTTTGAATTATAGGCCTTGAAAAATTATAAAAATATTAATGTAAAATAATTTTTTTAAGGGACCAAAAACAATGATATTATTATTCTCATGCTTGAACGGAGGGAAAAAATGAAAAAAAGAAAAAAAAAATATGGTTAAGAATATATTATTGTCTTGTTGTGGTGTTTGTAGCTAAAAAGAAGGGGTTGCAATGCTTATCTTGATTCATATGATATGGTTGCAAATGGAGTTTAGTTTATTGCAGTTTTGGCTTTGAAAAGGAAATGGTTGTTTTTGTTTGTTAGTGTTAAATATGGAGACAATAGAATGTGATTTGGATTTTATTATAGAGAAGGGTATCTGTAACGCTTGGGTGTCTGAGTATGAGAATTCCATGTAACAGACATTCTAATGAGTTCTACCTTAATATGAAAGTTAGAATCATATATATTTTGATTGCTTCCTTCGCTTTGTTCTCTCTTTCTTTGTTTCTTCCTCTCTTTTTTTCTCCTAGAAATACAAATCTCAGATTTCTAACAATGGAGGGGCAACAAATAGGGTAAAACTAAAAGATGAAATGCTACATAGGGGTATGGTGTATATATGCATGTTGGTCATAAAAGAGACATAAGATACTATGCACTTCAGCCTTTTCTTTTCTTTCTTTCTTTCTTTTCTTGTTTTAAATAGTCTTTAGTTATCACCCAAGTTAAATGATTTAAGAAATTTATTGAGTACATAGGTAATATTAAAGATTCAAATTCACATTTATCTTTATGGAAAAATAAACATAAGCCACTCATCTCTTTAAAAGAGACCTTAAAAAAAATTAATGAGAAATACTGTCTTTTGCCTTAATTCTTATCTTTTTGACTCATGTAATTTTATACCTAAATATTTTTAAAAACTTCTATTTTAGTCTATGTTTATATCATTTTTATTTTTATTTTTTCATGTCATCTATTTCTACAAGAACTAAAATTAAAGGTATAATTATAAAAATAAAAGAAAACAAAAATGACATGTATAAATACTAAAAGATAAAATTCATGAAATTATAGGATAAAAAGGTAATTAAATTAAAAAAAATATCAATTTGCAAATATAAGGTGTAATAAAATGTGATATTATACATGATGTAATAAAGTATGTGACATGAGGAATGAAGAGTTATATCAAACATGAGAGTAAAATTCTTCACCATTAACTTCTCCAAGATTTGAAGTGGGGGAAACAAGTTTTAAATATTTAAAAAAATGTATAAAATATCATTCTTTAGGTTTTAAAATTTAAAATTATAAAATTATAAATATAAATTATTTTTTAAAATATTAAACAAGAAAAAAAAAACTACTCTTTCCTTTCATTATTAAAATCTTTCTTTTCCCCCATCCTAACCGACCAGAATTTCTAATATCCTTCCCTTTCATATATACACTCCATTAAAATCTTTTCCACTCCTCCATTTTATTAAATCAAACCGACTCATAACATTTTTTTTTTGCCCACCAGCATGCATGGTAGTATGTTGTACTGTAGGCGCACATGCATGGGGGAAAACAGACGATAATCAACGTAAACAAAACAACTCATGTAGAACAGTCAAAACGACCAATTCAACATAAAATATTGTCACACTAATGATTTGCATGAGGTCCAATTTGATGTAGTAATGGAAGTTGGATGACATGCTGTTCAGAATGATTGGTTAATCTAATTCTTTTGTTTGCATTGTTGGATCTATCATAATAATTAACCTATTCCTTTAGACACTGCTAGGCTCTTGGTCGGGCTTTTCAGATCTCTGATACTTTTTGATCCATTATAAGCGATGCCGATTTTGTCAAAATATTTTTAAAGACTAAAATATTTAAATACATGTATTTTAAATTAATAATATATATA